ATTAATCCATGCCTTGCATCTTGGGTTTTTGTTTTTTTTTTTTTTTTTTTTTTTTTGGATTTGTTTTTTTTTTTTTTTTTGTTTTTTTTTTTTTTTTTTTTGAGCAATTTGAGTCCAACACAGGGAGACTTTTTTTTAACAAATCCACACATTCTGATTACAGTCTCAGGTCAAGTACTCCCTAACAGTGAGAAGTTGAGGTAGTCTTAGCAACTTTATGGATGCAGCATAACCACACATGTGTAAATATTAAAGATACTTTTTCACACCATTTTTTCCACTTTCCTTGATTCCTGTTTAATTCTGTTTCTGAATTATGCTTTTGAATATCTGTATCTCTTACGATTCTGTATCTGTTACCTTTAAAATAAATATAGCGAGGCTGTCTTGGTTGTGCTCTTCTCTATCTACCTCCCTCTCCTCTAGGTAAAAATGATGCTTCTCTGAAGAGTTTCCCAGTAGAAGCTAATACACTATTGTCATTTCCAAACCTCATACACTTCAGTGCTCACTGATGGAAAGGTGGAGATTTCTAGTTCTTTTGTCCTTGTGGATGTCAAAGACGGACACAGGCCATGTGAGCGTCATGGCCTCCTACCCTAGAGTCCAGCAGGGACTGAGATGGACATGCTCAGAGGGGCTCCTGCTGTGAGAGACCCTGCAGCTGTGGATGCTGAGCACACAGGAGGAACTGAGCTGACTGGGAAGAGCTTCCCTAGGCATGAGCATGTGGGAGGTGGGGTGCAGGGGTCTGGAGAGAGATGCTGGGAGCCCTGGCCTTCATAGACCCTCTGTGATCCCACTTCTAGCCTGGACATTTGAGAGGCACCTCTCTGCCAGGACCTAAGCTGGGCTGGCACCACGGGGCTAAGCCCCTAATGGGAGGAACCACACATGGCTTGTGTTTTAGGAGGTTATAAGAGGTTGGGATGTGCTCAAATCTGCTTGGTTATAAAGCACAGAAGTGCTTTGTTAGACTCATCTGAGCAGCCATGATGGAGAAGGGCATAGAGCTAGGAGGGTGGACCAAGGATGGCCCTGGTTCCAGAAGAGGATAGGGAAACTAATTCCAGATGTGGAGCAGCCCTTACTGAAATATCTGTCACCTTAATAGTGAAGCTGTGGGAAAAAGATACTTTTTCCAGGAAGGCCCATCTACAGTGACCTGGGCTCTGTCGCCCATGTCTCCAGGACCAATGGTGCTTTCCCTCTCCTTTCTTCCATATGACACAGAGGAGGAAAAAAGTTCACCCTGAGCCCCAGGACAAGAGACCCCCAGCTCAGCTTTAGTCTGTCAGAAGGGCAGGCACTGCAGAGTGGGACCAGTGAAAATGAGCTGGCAATGGCTGTGCCTGAGCTTTGGGGGAGGTGAGTGTATGGTGTCAGGTGAGCTTAGAGCAGAAGTGTGTCATTGGCCTGCCAAGACAGAGTTGATCCCTGTTATAGGAAACCAAAACTCCAATTGATAAAAGAGAACTTTATTGAGTTGTGGCTTCTGTTCCTGGACAATCCAGGACTCAGCTGTAGGGAAGATGCTGAGTCAGGAAGCAGTCTGGTTTGCTCTGGAGTTAGCTGCGTTTCATCATTTGCTTTATCCAGGATAAGAAATTTGAGACTCTGGTGAAGACACTTGGTGCTGAACCATCCTCACTTCCATAGGCGACGATGCCGGCAAACACTTTGTTACAGAGGAGAGGCCCTCCAGAATCCCCCTGTGAATGGAGAGGGGGCACAGAGAACTGAGTTGTTGTTCACTCTAGTCCCAAACCCCCTCTCAGTGAAGTGTGGCTTGTGTGCTCTGCTTGTCGGAGATCAGAGAGCAGGCCTGGGTGTCCCTGGGCTTCCTGCTCTGATTGTGGACAGGGTTACTGCTTCACCTCCCTCCTGAGCCCAGCCTCTGCCCTTTCTCCAGGTCTGTGATCCACTCTCTATGAAGGTGTGTGGGACCCACATCTCCAGGCCATTGTTTAAGGACATGGGGACAGGTGAGTGGGCCTGATGTGAGCATCGAGGACAAGAACATGAACAAAAGTGGGTGTCTGCTCTGTGGAGACACCTGTTTGTGTTAATGACACAGGCAGGGACACAGCTTTCTAAAGCTTGGGCCTGGGTATCAGGAGATCTGTGCAAATCCTGCTTTTATACCAGCTACCTTCACTGAGATTCCTTGTCAGCTCAGAAGGCCCTACTTAGTTATTGGTTACTGCTGTTCCCAGTGAGAAAGATCACACAAAGGAGTTCCCTTGATGTTTGGTCTCTAGAGCCTTTCCCAAACCACAGAGCCCAGAGAGTATGAAAATCCTACTTACCACGAAGGAAGCTCGCTTGATCTTTGGGTCCCCCACACATATCTGATTGGCTTTGTGGTAAAAACGTGGATAGTGGGACACACACTCCTGATCCTTCCATACTGTCAGCTCCACCTCTTGGAGTGTGTTTGATAATTCATCCTCCGGGCCTATCCTTCCCCAACCAGCCACAGAGCACACCTCCTCTGGCTTCACACGGACCCTGCGCCTGGGCAGGTTGAGGGGCCTCACAGCTTTAGTCCTCTTGGCCTTCTTCTCCAGCTGTTGGGGAAGAGGCAGGAGAGACCAGCTCAGCCAGGAGCCTGCTGGCCTGGACACCTTGAAAGCCAGGATGGCAGGGAGGGGAGGGATGGGATGAGAAACGGAGGGGCAATACCTGAACCAGGAAGAGAGTAGCATATTGTATATGCTTATTGGATAGTTTTTCTTGTATTAGTTATAAGCTTTTTTAATTTTAGACAAAAAGAGAGGAAATGTGGTGGTATTGTGTTCCCCAAAATATTGTGTACTCTAATAAATTTATCTGGGGTCAGAGAACAGACAGCCACTAGATACAAAGGCCAGAAAATGGTGGCACTCACACCTTTAATCCTAGCATTCCAGAGATAGAAATCCCTCTGGATCTCTGTGAGTTCAAGGCCACATTGGAAATAGCCAAGCATGGTGACACACACCTTTAATCCCAGAAAGCCAGCCTTTAATCCCAGGGAGTGGTGGTAGAAAGCAAAAAGATATATAAGACGTGAGGACCAGAAACTAGAAGATTTTGGCTGGTTAAGCATTTGGCTGGTTAAGCATTTGGCCTGGTTAAGATTTTGGCTGGTTAAGCATTCAGGCTTTTGAGCAGCAGTTCAGCTGAGACCCATTCCGGATGAGGACTCAGAGGCCTCCAGTCTGAGGAGACAAGACCAGCTGAGGATCCGGTGAGGTGAGATAGCTGTGGCTTGTTCTGTCTCTCTGATCTACCAGCATGGACCCCAATAACTCCCCTCAGGTTGGATTTTATTAATAAGAACTTTTAAGATTCCTGCTACTGTAGCAGGTCTCACCTTTAAGAGCATGATGTCATTGAGTTTTTTCTGTTTATTATAGCCAGGATGTGGGATGATTCTTGCCACAGGGATGATCTGCTGGGTCTTCTCCTGTTCTTGGATGTTGTGGGCCCCCAAGGTGACAATTATTTTGCTGTGCAGAGAGCAGAGTGTAGATAAAAGATCTGGAATCAGAGAAGATCCAGCCCAGGAGGTGTGAAGGGCAGGGTGTGCTGGCCATGGTGGAACCCTAGCTGAGAAAAACTGAAGGGACAAGAGTGACTGTGCCTCCTCCTTCTTAGCCATAAAAACGATAGAAATCTGGAGCACCAGTACCTGCACCACACTGCCCAGAGTCCTTATGCTAGGAAACCACATTGTATTGTTTGGTTTGTGTTTCAATGCTAACTCTGATCTAAATATGCTCAATTCCTTAGCTGTTACTCTGGTGCCAGCCTGGTTCTCACTCATGAGATGCTGGGCCCTCTCTCCTCCCAAGCTCCTTAGGAAGAAGGCAGGGTCGCCATGGAATGTTCCCAGGAGGGTATGGACTCTTTCTTGCTCCTTACCTCCCGTTACAGTGAGCCGCAGTCAGCACAAAATCCTCTCGTATGAGGCAGCCACCACACCTTCGAGTTTTATCTCCATCAGTGATCTCAAGACAAGCCATGTAGGGTCGAGAGTGGGGCTTGGCCTCATGTCCCCCGATGATCTCCCCTGAAGAAAAAGCCAACTTTCCTGTGTGCACCTGCTAGTCCAATGGAGGGGCTTTGTGTAATGGCTCCAGACTTGCTAGGCATTTGGGAGCCAGGGAGGCCTGGAGTTAGGAGCAGGCTGAGAGAAGATCCCTTAGATCTCCCTCTCAAAGAGGAGAGAAAAGTAGGTCTTGGTCTAGCAATCTTTCTTCCACAAAGTTCGAGGCATGCATAAGTCTCTGGGGAGGCAACTAAAGGCTAAGGACTCATCATGTCTGTCCCCTGACTTCTGTTCCCAGAGACTTTCTAACTGTGCCCCACCCCCTGAGCCCTGTGATGCCTGCTTTCTTGGGGCCAAGGCTTCAGTTCACACTTTGGAGCATCCTATTTCTTTATATCCTATTTGGCATAGTGTTCTCTGCTTTGCAGGTTTCCTACCCTTTACCATGGACTTCTAGGAAAACCCACTTTCCAGATGACAAGTATGGCTCAGGAAGGGGCTGACACTCGTTGGCTCTTCCTGAGAAAGGCCTCTGCCCTCCCACCTCTGGTGACAGAAGGGTTAGGCCACCAAGGGAGCTGTTGCTCACTCACCTGCCTTTGTCCTGGGGGGCAGAGAGAAGGCCAGCAGGAGCAGGAGGAGCTTCATCCTCTCTGGGAGACCCAGTAGGTCCCAGCACCTGGGGCTTTGTCCTTTCTCTCCTGTAACCTCTAGGAGATGAAGGAGGTGGAGTGAGCTCGGCAACCTTGTGCCCCCTCTCTTTTTATGATGCTCCATCACAGAAGGCTTTCTATGAAAGTTCCCACCCCTGCTGCCACTGCCTGGTGATGTCTTCTGAGTGCTTGTGTGAGAATCATGAAGTAACCACAGCAGGACCCACAGCTGATGACTCAGAGCCACCAGGTACAGCCCATGGCAGGAACACAAGGGTACTGGGTGGGGTTTGAGGGGTATGGTATCAGAGTCCCAGAAACCCAAGTTCCCAGTCGTGGAAGATCAGTGATCTCAATGCCACAGTCCTGAGTCCAAAACGACAGATGTGCATTGAGGCTCATCTCTTGTACTAGAACCAAGTATGAGATGACCACCTAGTTGGGGTAAACCAGGGGCAACCATGACTAGAGTACAGTTTGGGGAGGGCAATGGTAGAGTGATGGACAAGGCTAGAACAGACAGGCCTTGCAAACACTATTCAACCTATTTAGCAGCAGAGCTTCAAAAGTTCCATGTGACAAAGACCTTTCTTATGAAACACCTACATGTGACATTTATTGACATGAAAAAAGAGATTGCTGCAGGCTGAGAGCTGAACCCCTGACTGACCAAAGCCTGAGTCATTCCTGCTTCTTCAGAAAAGCTCACAGTTGTCCCACTGTGAACTAAAGTTGGGAAAGGTCTAGTTTCCTGAAGGACAGTTAGGTCACTAAATTACTGATATAGTGCAATATAAGAAAGCAAGCCAGGCTACTAAAAACTCAGCAATTGTTCTCTCTCTCTCTCTCTCTCTCTCTCTCTCTCTCTCTCTCTCTCTCTCTCTTTTCGTGTGTGTGTGTGTGTGTGTGTGTGTGTGTGTGTGTGTGTGTGTGTGTGCACGCAACCTTGGGCGTCATTCTCAGGTTCTGTCTGCCTTGTTTTTTTAGGCATGGTCTCCCACTTAGCTTGGTGATTAGGCTAAACTGCCTGGCCAGAGAACCTCAGGTATCTGTCTGTCTCCATCTCCCCAGAGCTCAGATTGTGTTCCCACCACACCCAGCTTTTCACACAGGTTCTAGGATTGGAACTCAGGTCCTCATGCTTCCATGGCAAAGTTGCTGTTTCCCCCACTTCCTCTTAGTGTTTTTTATATTCTGTCCAGAGAATAAAAAATATTTATTTAGTACAAATTAACATCCTTTATATTAAATATCAATAGATATTCATTATTCATTAAAAAGTCAGCCTGTAATAACCAAGGAACCATGGAAACAAACTATCAACTCAACTCATGATACAGGAGCGAATCAAGTCATTCCGACATTAGAGACAGCAATGAGTTGCTCATACGACACAGCAAAACCCATCAAAAAGGCCATCATTTCATCTATACTACCACACTAGACAATGGTTTGGACTCATTCTGTGAACATTCTCAATAATGTCATCTTTGTCTATGTATCGAGTCACAGGGACTGAAGAGCCACCCATCACAGCATTTACAAATTCCCATCTCCTTGGTTATATTTCATTATTGTCAATGAATGAAAACAAGCCAGACAAAGTCAAAGGCACTTTAGGTTGGTCTTTCCTAAGAGAAAAATAATCAAATTTTAGTAAATAAAATCCTCCCTCATGCAACGATTTTCTTAGCAGAATAATAAAAATGTTTGAACACACCATACACTTTTGACACAGGACTTGGAAGACTCAAGCTGGAACTGACCTGGAAGCCTCACCTTGAGGACCAGCTCTCATAATAGCTAATGGTGCTATGCAAGCTGCCAATGCAAAAGGCAATGAATAGTCCTACCTTGTTCTAAAACCACAACGACCATCACACCAAGGGTACAATGGGGCACTTACATCCTGGAGGTAACTAACAGCTGTCTAGTTAGACTTACGGTCCACTCAGTGAGAAGAATTCATGCCTGATACTAGAAATCTAGTCCACGACCTGTGGCTGTGAGGTCATGGACCCCAGCAGAGGAGAACCTACTACTGAGACTTTCCTAAAGCAGTGCAATTAGCTACTGCATTCTAGTAACAACCCTCACATCACAGATCAGTGTGGCTCTCACTCCTCATCAAATCAGCTTTGTTTGCAGCAGATGCAGACCATTGCAGACATCCACACACCATTCAAAACGCAGAGAACAACTGACTGTGGGGTGCCCAGCCCCACTTGTTATACCCACAACACATTTCCTGCACACACGTTTCTGAGAAGTTGACAGAGGGGGGCCTGAAAGATCATGAGAACCAGAGGACTAGGAGGTCCTCTGAAAGATGGTGTCTTCTATATATAACAGGGGAGCTGCATCCATGAAATCTAAACAAGATGGCTGCCTATACAAGACCTGCACAATGACACCAGTTGACACTCCAGTGTGGATCGGGGAGAGCACAAGGCCCCATTCCTAGATACAGAGCTACAGTCAATTAATGGCTGCTAAGTGAGGGAGAATCAATCTTCACAGGTTCCAAGTGGTCAGCTCTAAATGCGTATACATACAAGCAACACTAAGTGGACTCAGTAAGTTATATCTATATAGGGGTGTGTGTGTGTGTGTGTGTGTGTGTGTGTGTGTGTGTGTGTGTGTGTGTGTGTGTGTGTGTGTGTTGTGTGGTGTGTGTGTACATGGATGCAGTGTCCGTTCAGTATTGGATCCCCTGCAGCTGGAGTTACAGGCAGTTGTGAGTCACATTATATGGATTTCCTCTTCAGTTGTGGAGCTTAATTGCCAAAATTTAGGCTGCATGATCTTTATCAAAAGGCAATGTGAAATATGATATGAGTTTTAAAAAATTAAACTGTAGAAGCATTTCCTCAGAAAAATTATATACATATATATATATATGAATTAAGGTATTAATTGAAATCATCTAAGATCTAGCTAGCTATCTACCTAGCTATCTCTCATGCATTTTTCTCATGACTAAACTAAACTAAATCTATACCCTTTATATATGTTTTTATATACATGTGTGTATTAAACTGTACATTAATTTATATGGGTATGTGTGTGAGTGTGTGAGTGTGTGTGTGTGTGTGTGTGTGTGTGTGTGTGTGTGTGTGTATGCAGGCATATTGCTGCTAAAGTGCGCTGTTTGTATCCTTTCATTTCAGTCTTTCCAAGGACAATCTTGGTACATGTTTTCTCAGGAGTATTTTCAGTACTCAAACAGAAGATCGGAAGTCAGCTGCTCTCCCTCCTTATGAAGGTGGCTCTGCTCAGTAAGACAGTCTTGTGTAAAGGTCTTTAAGGGCAACAAGACATGAGGGTTGTAGGGACCAGAGGGAAGAAATTTCTCCAATGTGAAGAAAAGTTTTGTATGGACTGTGTGTGTGTGTGTGTGTGTGTGTGTGTGTGTGTGTGTGT